GTTCACCGATAAACGCCGCCATCTTGTGGATGTTTTGAGAATTGCGCGCAGGATCACCATTGCAGCGCATCTGAGGGGAAATAAGACAACAACAACGGCGTGCACGGGTACTTGATTTACTGTAGTTAGTAAACTTTATTTAACATATATGCCATTAATGCACAAATTAGATGTATTACATAAATTTCTGATATGCAGTTTATGCAGCTTGGCTCGAAGGTAATTCTGATATAACATGCCAGTTGAGAAATGCAATAAAATACGATGTTTTGTTTGTTATATTTCAATATTCCAGAGAATATTATTCAGTGAATTATTCTTCACTCTTTAGCCTATTAAACAGCTTATAAACCTACTAAAACTGTAGTTTAAGTTGATATGACTCCATTTCTTTCTTTATTTTCTCCATTTGAAAACATTAGACCTTCTACATTTATTTTGCTTATTGTTAATATTAGTGTTGCTGCTGATGCTTTAAATAAAATGTTTTTTTATTGTTGTAATGTGAAGATTAAATTGAACATGAAATACTGCTAATTTTTTTTACACTTTTTTTTAAGATGACTGAAAGGAGGAAAAACCAAAGTGAAGTATGGACTTATTTCACTCAGTCATTTATTTACTTTATAACAGTAAATAAATATCGGTTCTGCATATCGGTTATCGGGCACATAAAATGCAGATAATTGGTATCGGTATCGGTTACAAAATATCAATATCGGTCGATCACTACTTTCAACCAGCATAACAAAAAATGTTTCTGAAGACAATCACCTATTGCACCTTTAAATCTGGCAACGCATATCTAATATGGTTTCTTATAAATAACACGTTAAAAATGCCAGTTTAAACATTTAAGAGCCAGAGGATGCGAGCTCGCGCACGCAGTGAAAAGATTTGTGCGTGCGCTCATCCGAAGCACGCAAACCCGCGTCTCAGAACACGTGCAAATATTAAGCTCTCTCTGAAGTATTATGTACTGTATCAGTGCACTGGATCAGTGCATTCTCTTAAAGTGACAGCACTTTCTAAATATTAATCGAACAGCAACAACAAATAAATCACTCACTGCTCTTGATTGAATAGCTTTTGTAACTTTAATGAAGATTAATCTTTAATTTATACAGTCAAATATACAATGCTGTTTTAAATTTGATTACTTCATTAAATTTCTGTACCTAAAAATTAATGCACACCTACCTAAAACAAAAACTGAAAATCACTGTTTATTTTATTTGTATCTTTACTCTATTGTATTTATTTATGCTGTTGCTTGTAGTTAGATAGATTATTCTTATTTTCTTTATTTTTATTTGACAGTTTAGTTTTTCCCTAAACATAGCACATACCGAACCGTACCGAAACCATGACTCTAAAACTGTGATACTAACCGAACCGGGAAAAAGTTGAACCGTTCCACCCCTAGTGCTGGTTGTAGTAAAACACAACTGATTATCTGACTCATCCAAAAGTTGTGTGTTAAACGTTTTAGTTCA